AAAAAAAGTTGAAGAAATAATATTTGAAAGATTTACTGAGGGAACTACTGTTTAAATAAATATGGGTATTTGGAAAATGGCTAAATAGAAAAAGCACTAAATAATAATCTTTCATCCCCAATATCATATTTGAATAAAATTACTATTTTCAACTGATCTTAAACTTTGATTGGCATTTGACTAGGAGTCGGATATTTATGGTTTTCCTATTTCATTTATGACATGAATTTGGTCTTATTTTGCGATTAATAGATTTTGTTTTCGTGAATAGGATCACATTAATATGCATCTCTAATTAGGCGGTATAAATAATCAAAATAATGAATTTTAGCTATGTCTAGTATACCTAACCACTACGAAACTTTAAAAGTTCCACAAAATGCAACAGCTGAACAGATTAAAAAAGCACGCAACATATTAATATTAAAATATCATCAAGACAAAAATAAAGACCCAAGAGCCGTAGAAATTACACAAAAAATAAATGTTGCCTATGGCATTCTTGGCGATGAGCAAAAACGAAGGGATTATGATAAGGAATTGCACGGATCTTCTGGAACATCCTCTACTACGTCTGATGGATCATCAAGTAAAGGATATACAAATTTTGGTATCTTATTTTAACTTCTAGCAGATAAAAAATAAAAATTAAGGAACGTCGTCAGAGGGAACATACTCAACTTTCAATAATAATTTTGGATTTGGATATTTTCCAGATTATGAAAATATTTTTGGAGGGTTCAAAGCATACACTTCTTCAGGATTTACTTATTCAAGGTCTCATGGCTCACAAATAAATTCGTGTTCAAACAATTTAAAAATATTTGTTTTCTCCAATAAAAATCTAGTACAAAGCACAAATAAAATTATTAAGGAAGCTAATAATATAGAAATAAATGGGGCATCAAATAATTTCAAAATATATGGGAACAATATTTACATTGAAAATGAAAATATAAATCAAAAAAAGATTGTAGGAAAATCAGTTAAAATCGAAGTAAATGGCCCATGTAATTTTGTTATTCCAAGAAGAAGAACTGCTTATATATTTTCTGAAGAATTTAAAAGGTTAAAACCAACCGGGAATATTACGAGTATAAATGGTGCTTCCAATACAATTGAGGTAACATTCAGAATTGTAAAGGTTATTAGTGGAATCTCACTTCGTGATCACTCAATCGCAATCAAAAAAATCTCACTTTTTTCCGAATCTCAATCAATCTCACAATCATCAAATCTCAGTTTGCTTCCCTTAGTTTTTTTGTCTTGCCTAATAACTAATTTTTAGAAATTATTGAGATTATTAGAACAGGGTTCGGATCGAGAAAATGTTAAGTGTAAGTATAAAATTTCAGTTTGGAAGTACATAAGGGGAAAATTTTTAAATATAAATACTCTACAAAAAAATTTCCAAAAACATTTTTGGCAACGAAGGGCCATAAGTATTCCATTTTCTCGCCGCAAGCGGAAATTGAAATTTTTAGGTTAAATTTAATGTTTAACCAAAAAGTCTATTTGTAAGTACTGTACTTCCAAAATAGGTACCAATCCGAAACCTGGTTCTATTTACTTCGATTTTAACTGATTTTATCACTCTTATCATTATTTTTGAACATTTCATAATGTTTTTTAATTTTCTAATTTTAAATTTTAATTAATTTCTCTCCCATATTTTAATTTTATAAGATTTATAGATGCACATTGACGATGTTTCAGGAAGTAATCTAATTGAAATTAATGGTGCAAATAACGAAATAGAAATCATTGGCACATACTAAAATGTAAATTGAGATAGTTTAAAAGAAACGAGATTAAGAAAAAAAATTTTTAATTATTGGATGATTTTTATAATCTATTTTGAATTAAAATAAAGATATAATTTGTTTTTAAAATAATTTTCAATTTCCTTTTAATTTATCATACACTCTGTCAGAAAAATATAAGTAATCCCTTGTTTTTTAGAAAGAAAACATAATTTAATTTAATATGTCATAATTTTGAATATTTTTGCAAATTTCTTATTCATATTCAAAAGAAAAAAGCAATCAGATATAAATTATTAGGGGTGCTTATAATTGTCTGACAGTCATTTTTTAGGAAATACCAGGGCTCTTGTCCAGTTTAGGCGTCCAACCGCACATTTATACGTCCAAACAACCTTTATACGTCCAATGAAAAGTTTATACGTCCAAACAAATTTTTTTGCGTCCAAACAACTTTTATGCGTCCAATCACATTTTTTAAGTACCCGGTTCTGCACTAAATTATCGTAAAATCTATGGAAATAGAAAGTTTTATTTAACCAGAGTTATAATACACACGCATATTACCAGACCTTAGGTTTTAACGCATAGAACCGGGTATTAAAAAGTGTGATTGGACGCATAGAGTTATATCCATACCAGTTATATCCATATGTAAATAATTTATATCCCCTACATTTTACTAAAAAACTAGGGAGTGCTTATAATTTTCTGACAGAGTGTATGTAGCATCCTCTACTAAAAAACGCGAGTTTTTGGAAAAATTCTCTCTGTGATTGCCTACTCTGCATATGCGCATGACTTTAGCAATCCCTCCATTATTTCACGTTACCTAAACGATTTCTCTTTATCTTAATTCCCTTTTTTCCAATCCCTCCCGAAATCCTTTATTGGGACAATTAGTTACTTTGAGCTGAATAAAAAAAAACAAAAGTTCAGCCAAAATAAAAGAAAAATAGTGAGATGAAAAGAAGAAATAGCGCAAAAACATCCCATTATGTGAGGAACGATTTTATGACAGCCAGGCAAAATTTGAAAGGGAAAGACTGTTGACAGCTGTGTTTATTTTTATACGTGCAAAAATTGATTTTTTTTTAATTGTTTGTTTTTGTCCAAGTTAAATTTATTTTTAAATTATAAATAAAACTAAATATTTTATTTTTTTATTTCTACATTATGTATGTTTAAAAATTTTTTTTATTTTTCTCTTAAACTTTGAATAAGTTAAACAAAAAAATGAATATTTTTTGACCAACAAAAGGGCATTCTATTCTTAATGTATTAAAAAATTTTAGTGTGAATCTGAGGCTCGATTTGTATAAATTCTCTCAATAACATAACTAACCCCACGGAATTTTTCGTCGTAAGAAAGAAAATGATATGGGGGTTGGATGAAGTTTTGTTTAAGACCTATATTTCTCAGAATTTTATTTAAAAATCAAAATTCTGTTAAAAATTTTTGATACCGGAAGCTTTAGTTACAATTTGTATGTATAATTTTACAAGTAGGCGGCGGCTTATGGCGATTGTTATACCCCTAACCGTAAAATACACTAGCGGCTTTATTCTCTTTTTTGATAGTGGTTGCCAGTAACAACAATTTTCTTAATTCGAGATGTACATCTTTGGGCTTGGAGATGAATTTGCAATTATATTATTATTAATCTTTGGGTTTTATAAATTTACTCAATTTTTTGTGTTTTTGCTATTATCAACATTGTCTTTAATTCTTTGGATATGGTAATTAATATTGTAATAAATATTTTTTGGCATATAATTGTTTAAATTAGAGACCCTTTCGAGGCTAAACCTTGGACAAAAATCTAGGGCGAGATCTTTCGAGATATCTCGTACGTCTCTCCCAATCCGGTCGGTCTCTAGTTTAAATTATTAATAAAAGGCATTTATACGACAAAAAACAATATTGGCAAAAACTTGGAGTGCCGTGTTCTCCTACAAATATTTTTGTAGGGCATATGCTCGAAGTAAAATCCAAAGGTGGAGTAATACAATTTGATAAAGAAAATCGTGAAAAATTTGGGAAAACATATGGGTAAGAATTTGAGTACAAATTTCTAACCAAAAAATAATCCCAACAGAATGTATCTTCTCGATATGAACAACCTTGTTACATCGGACATGGATTTAATCAAACAAGTTTTCATTAAGGATTTTGTTCATTTCCCGACACGTTCCGTAATTGTGTATTATAAATTTTTAATCAAATTATATTGTTAAAGGGCTTTCCGCTTACTCAAAATAAAAAGATTATACAAAATAGTTTGCTTAGAAGCATGGTTTCAGTTGTTCAAGGGGATGATTGGCGACGTGTTCGTAATACTATAACGCCTGCATTTACTGCAGCTAAGCTAAAGAAGGTTGGAAAATGATAAGATTTATGATTCTTTTTCAGAACAAGCAAGATTCTGGAAAAGACATAGGCTAGATCAACTGACCACAGTATTTATTATTTGAGAATTATGGCTATTAGTTGATCTTGGTTATTTTTGTGTTTTTGAATCATAATTTCTGTAGATTTTGCATGCGTTGCTGAAAAGTTGAGTCCCGATGGGTGGCCTTAGAGGGATTAGGATTAATAAAAATTTAGGGCATTAACAGAGATAGGGATTAGTAAGGAAGGATTAAGTATTTGTTTGATTAAAAGACATCTTGGGTTAAGATATAAGACGGATATCGCGGAATTTGGTAAGCCTATTGAGGATTTGGGACGCATATACTCTGATGGGACGCATAAATGTTTATGGGACGCATGTCCTAAACTAGAGCCAAAATTTGAGAGACTAAAAGTTCGAGAGGAATATTAGTCCAGAAACTAACCCATAAAAATTTTAATAATTACAGATAATTCCAACTATATCCGAAAGCAGTAATGAATTAATTAATTACATTTCTTGTAAATATGTTGTAACAAACGAAGAAATACCTTTGAAGGAGTAATTATATTTACCTAATTTTTAAATTATATTTTAAATTTTATTCAGAATTTTTGGTCTTTTTACTATTGATGTGATAGGTCGTTCTGGATTTTCATCAGATTTTAAAACATTTTCTGGGGAGGAGAATGAAATAGTTAAACAAGCTTTGCTTTTTTCAAACGCAACAAAAAAGATGGCTTTTTTTGCCGTTCTGAGTTTTTTGTATAAAATTGCTAAGATTTGTTAAAAATTCCAGCATTTTTCCCTTCGATAAAAGAGTTATTAGAAAATTACTTTTCGATTGATTTATGGGATATGCCTGCACAAAAGTATTTTCATGGTCTTATGTCCAAATTGTATGATGAACGTAAAGATGATCCTGAAGCAAAGGATGTGGGTTTTTCTGATTTTAAAAGAGGTAGACCTGTAATATAAACCTTTTACTTGTTCACTAATGTCAGATTTCGTTGATTCGAGTTTTTTGACTCAGCTCGAGGAGCTCATTCGAGTGAGCTATTATTTTAATTTTTCACCCCAAAATCAGCTTACTCCCTGCTATGGTTTTTCTATTTTTCGGGACCTATCTCTAGGTCCACAATCCGTTTTTGAACCTAGAAAGTGTTTTGAGCGTTTCGACTTATTCCTCAAAAGGTACATTTTTTCCTTTAGAAATTCAATGACATTTTTCAATTACTCATGAACGCTGTAAATGATTCTGAAATTGAAGATATTACAATGGAACAAACTACTAATGAAATAAATAATAATTTGATAGCGAAACAGAATGATAAATATCTCAGCAAGATAGAGCTTTTTGCCCAAGGGTTCATGCTTTTAATTGCTGGGTTTGAAAGTATCACAAATCCAAACAGTATATCTAATTTCTTTTATACAGTTATGACACAACAGCTTCCGTTTTACAATTTGCAGCCTATATGCTTGCAATGCATCCCGAAGTTCAAGAAAAATTGCGAGAAGAAATTAATAGTGTGCTTGGGATAGATGTAAATAATATTTATTCTTCAGAGATGCCAAAATTTAAATAAATATTTTAGGAGGATATTTTATATGAACATTTAAAAAAGATGGATTATCTTCAAGCGTTTCTGCAAGAAACGCTAAGAATGTATCCACCAGCTCCAGTGTAATTTTGTATTAAATGATAACAATACGAAATTATTTTCATAGTTCAAATCGTGCTTGCAATTCTAATCTAACTCTAAACGGAATTAATTTACGTGAAGGAGACCTCGTTTCTATACCGATTTATTCTATTCAACACAATGAAGAATTCTACCCCGAACCTGAAGAATTTAAGCCAGAGAGGCAGTGAACGTTTTTTGAATTTATTTTTCTGATGATAAGGCTGGGAGAGTTATGACTGTCCCAAACTAATGAAGAACTGGGAGCTATTGAAAAGCTTCCTACCAATTCTGTGGGTTACACTTCGATATACCGGCAGCCCAGTATACCGCCGATCTATATAACTTCGTTCAAAATTTTCGAATACGGGAGGCCCTGGTATAGTTTGTTTCAGCTCCTCGAGCCGCATCGAACCATGTCAGGGCTTCCTGGATTCGACAAATTTGAACGAAGTTATAACTCGACAGTATACTGGGCTTGAGGTATATCGGCCTTCTCCTATTCTTTGTAAATTAAATTCAATTCAAGGTCCAAATCAGATCGTTGTGGTTTACCAAACCGAATACAAGAATACATAAATTAAAAGAACCTAAACCTTTTTTTAACTTAAAATTAATTCAAGATTTATTCGCGAAGAAAAAGCTTCTGTGGACCCGTTGACGTTCTTGGCCTTCGGATTGGGTCCAAGAAATTGCCTTGGTATGCGCTTTGCAGAAATCCAAATGCAAGTAGTTATTGCTCTTTTGGTTAGACGTTTTAACTTCAAATCGAGTCAAAACAGTCCGGTTATTAAAAATTCTAAGAATTAAAAAATCTTCAATTCAGAAACTACCCCTAGAACTTGAATCTGTGATGCTTTTACGCCCAAAGAAAGAACTTGTAATTTTAGCTGAGGATTTGTTATAAAAATACTCTTAGTTTCATGAAAAAATTTATGATCAGACATATTAATAAAAATAAATTTTAAATATCTATCGGTTAAATATTATTCACAGCGGGTACTATAATGTCACCACACTTGCAAATTAATGATCTAGCGTCTCAATCCCTAGAAATCGAAAATTTAGTTTTAATTTCGGCTAGATCCCTTTTGCATATGTCGCTCTCACATTATTGTCACATTTTCTATGCTCGAGAGGTGACACTAGAGCAAGCACAGTTACGCAATAAATTTCAAATAAAAACTTTAATTATTAAATTTCTCATCTTTTAGTTTAACCTCCAATAATCATCAAAATCCCCTTAAAAATAAATTAATTAAATCTTATATAAAATCATCTCAAATGTTTTACCAATTTTCTAGTTCATTTCTTTTCAATACCAAAATCTTCACCTCACTTTTAGCGTCAATACGCTGACCAAGATTTTTTAATACAAATTTATTTATAAGCGTCTCCTTTATTTTCTCAAATTTGGCATAAAATTTAGTTGAAAGTTCGTAACTAGTTTGTTGTGCAAATTTAATTCCCAAAAGCCAGGAAGTGCAGAAACGTTTTCTAAAAATATTTTTTTGAAATTAAACTGATTAAAAATATCAGTTCTACTGTAGGTCATGCGTTCCAAATGTTCTTGAAGCCGGTGAATTGGGAAGTTCATAGGAACTGGGAAGTTTTTCAGAACTGTGAAGCTCTGATAAAGTAATGAGGAATGTCAGGTGGCGGAGATTATACTAGAAATAATTTTAGGGGAAGGAAAACAATAAGATGTCGGAGGAATGGCCCAAAAGCCAGCGTACATCATAATCGAGGACCTCATGCCACCTCCCAAAGACGTACTAGCATTCGAGCCGAAAATAATTTTACCTTTTATTTATCTTTATTCCACATTTTTCTGTTTTCAATCCAATATGACTATAATCAACTTCCTCAAAATTTTCTAGTTGATTAACTAATTCTTTATCAAGCTTTGATTCAATAAACGAACAAAAATTTTCTTGGCTTATTTGAGTTGTTGTAATGCAGGAAACAACAATATAATGGTTATACTAAAAATATAAAATTACTAAACACCTAGTTACATATAATTTAAATATTAAATTGAAATCTCTACAAATTACAGATTTAATTAATTAAAATATTTCGAACCAAATTATTAAAATTTTTTACCATTTTTTTGTATTCTGTTCCCTCAATAATTTTATCAAAATACGATATGTTATTTTGGTATTGTTGATTTAAATATAATTTGTGTATGTTTTCAAGTCCTTAAATTTAAAAATTGAAAAATATTTACTGTAAATTATTCTTGTATTTGGAAATTGTATCCCATATAGTTAGTCTATGTTTATATGTGTTACTTTCATCACAGATTTATAACCCTAATTATTCCATAATACACCAGATTTTCATGTGAGCATTATGGTTAGGATTTTAACAATCAAGCTTTGTATGGGTTTTCCTATTAAAAATCACACATACTTTTTGGTTATCAAAATTTCATAAAGACGGCTAATTCTTAGCAAAAAAATAAAAATATTCGGGGTTAAACCCGGTTGGAACCGGTAATATAATAATAGTAGCACCAATATTATATTACCTTTTATCATTACGTTTACAATAATTTTTAAATTTGATTTTTTAATTTTATAAGTTAAAGATTGTTCAGGATATGTTGGACTATAAATATTAATTCCTTCTTGTTTCTGATCATTTTGGTCATTTTTTGCTTTGTTTATTAATCTTATAGGGTTTTGCCAATTCCTTAAATTTTAAACTTTAAAAATTATGGAAATAAAAATAACCAAGTAACAAAAGTTAAAAAGAAACGTTCAATTAATTCATGATAATTAGCTCCAGGATTTAACAAAAATACTTTTGTTAGCATTATTGAAATTGAATTTCCATCAAGAAATCCAAATTGACTGCTATAGACACAATACCCTGAAAATTATTAGTTTAACTGATCCCTGATCAAAATACATAAAAATAAAAATTGAACAATTTCAAATAGGTTTTATAACATTGCTGAAACAAAAATCGCTTCTGAATATATGAAAAATTTCACATACTGCAATAATGTAATAAATGTCTGAGTGGACCGAAATTTGTAAAATTATTATTCTATTCTCGGAAATAAAAAAAAGGTTAATTTTTGTTAAGGATGTACAGAATGGTCAATCTGTTAATTAATCAGCCAGATGTGTTAACTTTGGGCCAAGATGAAAACCCTTGAACATTAAAAATCAAAATTGGATAAAATGAAAAATTAAAAATTTGATTATAAAAATAAAAGCTGGTTCGAAACATCAAAATCTCCGTGATTGAACAAGATTTGACTAGTATGGTGTCGGCGAGCCGCTTGTGCAAAACCTCGCGCTTTAAATCATAACATTGTCAAATCTTAGTCAAGCAACGGTGACTTGTCTGAGAAGCATGTTATACCAAATATTCAGTTATGATTTATACTAGATGTAGTACATAAAGCCGCTGGAAATTTCTGTCCGTTAGTTCAAAAACTCATAAACATATTAAATATCAAACCTTTTGCCCAATTTTTTAATGCAATAAATGCTTGAATAAAAATTAGTTTTTCGCGTTCATTCACATTCTCTATCAAATTCTCCAAATATTCATGACTTTTGAATAATGCAAGGTTATGCAATGTAATTAACGAATTTTGTTGTTCACCATTGCCACTTTCCTTATTTAAATTATTTGATAATTTCTTCATTAATGATTCAATCCAGCTTGAATCCTGGGGAACTATACGTGTTTCCGGTTTGTGAACAAAAGTAATATTAATTTCAGTTGTTTGTATTTCAAACTGAATAAATTCATCTGATGAGGGTGAACGACGGAGTTTCTTCACAAATCTGCTTTTCTTAAAAATAATTTTTTAAATAAATTTTTTAAAGAGATGTTGAATCAAATATACCAAAATTTCAAATTGTTCGAAAATAAAAGTATTATGCCTTCAAAATAAAAGCATTATGCCTATTACTCCGACAATGATAATCTTATATAATAATAAGAAATTATAGAGCAATTACTAATTGCCTTTACATAGAAATGCATGGTTCCATAAAATTTCTAACCTTGCAAAGATAACAGAAGAGTGATTTATCCGAACAATTGTACATAAATGGAGGTCTACAAAATGTATTTGGTTTTCCATTAAATATTTGTTTAGCCTTCATTTTTTCTTCTTCCTCTCCTTTTCCTGTCCCAACAGAAACAACAATTGCTTGAATATGTCCTCCTATTTTGTTGTAAGGACTGGCCATTAATAATCCAAAATTGTTATTTTTTGTTAAATTTATCCAATGGTCGAAAAGTGTTTGAAAAGATTCTTTTGGATTTTTGATATTTATTTTATTAGAATATACATTGTTAATTAAAGCTTTGGCATCATATTTCTCATTTAGAATGTCCATAGGATCGTTACTTTCAAATTCGAGAAAATTATTCGGTTCCGTGTGTATATTTATTTCTGTCTCTTCAAACGACAAAGGTTTATATCCTTCTGGATTTAGATAATCATCATTGTTTCTTTGATTATCTGAGGAATTAATATTTTAATCGAAATATAAATGATTAAAGTTAATTTCATACCTAATTTAATTTGTTCATTCATCTTAATAAATTTATTAATCCGTTCTTCTATTTTTTCCACCCATACAATAACAACTCCATGGTTTTTTTCGTTTAAATTTAACATTTCCTGAACGAAATTTATCTGATTTTTGGTTAATTTACCATTCATATCTTGCTCTTTTGTGAAAAGAAAATATTCACAAATTTTTTGAATATACAATCTTTCTTTCATTTTATTAGCCAAATCCTTTTCTAAAATTTCGTTTTTTTCGAATAAAGACAACAAATTAATTAATAAAAGTTTCAATTCTTTGTCAATTTCTTCAATATTTTTCAAAGATTTTTCTTGAATTTCTTTCCAAGTTTTTTCAATTTCTAAAAATTTTTCTTCTTCAAAATACACATTAAAAACTAATTTATTTTTTAATTTCAGCTTCTCAAAAAATTCAAAACGCTTTCCAATCTCATTTGCAAAAATACAAATATTTAATAAATTCCTTCCAATTTCAGTTTTTCCTTTATTAAATTTATTAAAAATTTCAAACAAATTTTTATCTTCAATAAAATATTTAATTTTCCTTTCTTCTTCATTAATTTCATCACTTTTGGATAATTCGTGTGTTATTTTGATATTTTCTTCATCCTAAATAATAATTTA